TCAAGTTTTCGAAATTCCAAATGGATCGTACGCCACGAATTTTGGATCGTACAGGACCTCAAATTATCGTACGCGTACAATCGTAACAATCTTATTGGTTAGATCATAGAATAGAAAATGTAACCTTACATATTAGAGGAATCTGATTGGTTAATTATTATGTTATAAATTCGCTTTAAGGTTTTACATAAAATAATTATTTTCAATAAATGAATACTCTTAAAGAAAATAAATATTTCAAAATTGTTTCTATATAAAAAGAAAATTATTTCAATATTTTTATTTATTGAAAGAAATTTAATTAGAAGTTTTCTCTTTAAAAATTTGATCGTCAATAACTAACGTAGTAGTTAAAAATTTCCCCGGTTAAATTTAAATGTCTTAATTCAAAACTAAAATCTTGTAAAGTAAAATCAATTGTATTATTTATATTTATAAGTATTTAACAAAGCTTATTAGTTTTTAAAAATAATCTCTCAAAATTGCTTGGTAAGATACATTAAGAATAAATAAAAACAAATTATAAAAATACTATTCTAATTATATACATTTGTTAATTTTATATCCTCTTATAACCTTTTTTTAACTTTTTAGGTTGTTTAATGATATCAAAAAGAAGAGAAATTAAACAAAAGATGTGAACAATAATTCAATTAGTAAAAATTCATTTTTAAAATGAATAATTCAAACGTTATCAGACTAAGTATAACAAACAAATTAAAATGAATACCATACTAATTACATATGTTAATTTTTACTTCTTACATAACCTAACTTTCAGGCAACCCAATAATTCAAAAAGGAAATGCGAACGTTGTTCAGTGTTTAAAATTCATATTTAAATATCGCTGTAAAAAATATTAACACTATTGTACATGTGTTAAGTGTACAAAATATGAAAGAACAATCGTTGAAGAAAATTAGAAAAGTGGTGATAATATGAGAGAGAGAGAGTGAGAGAGAGAGAGAGAGATGATTTTCTCCCCCACTTTAAATTCATACAATTCCTTCTCTCCTTCTCTCTAATATCAGATTATTATAAGAGTTATGGTATATATATATAGAATGTATATATATATAGAAAAAGAGTTAAAAGTAAATAAGAAGCACTTGACATAGGCAGAAGATAGGCGCACGCGCTATAGGAGTGAAAGGAAAGCGAGCAAACAAGCGAGGAAGCAAACAAACAAGTAAACAAGCAAGAAAGAGAAAGAACTAATGTAATAAATAAAGAAAGAAAGAGAGAGGAATTGTGGAATATAATAAAGAAGGGAACATAAATCAGATAGCGAGAATTTTCGATGGCCGTAAGTTCAGCAGTCATTCCGTGTAGAAAGAAACCATCACGAATGGAGATTATGAATAAAACTAAATCAACAGCGTATTTAGGCGGCCTCACGGAGTGTATTATCGTTAACGAGTCGTGTTTAACTACAAGGTTAAACAAGCATAATAATCAAGATTATTGGATGCAAACTGGTGGATATCTATTTTCGAGGATCCAATAAGAATGGCTGCCGTATTGAGAAGATTCAGAACCGTGCAGGTCACGGTTATCGACAAACCAAAAACATCACTGTTTATTAACGTCCGGTAAAACTATATATAACAAGATTATTTATTTAACAATAAAATTCAAATAATAAATTGATTATCAGATATCGATTTTAATCTATTAACAACAATTTGATTTTGATGAAAAAGTTTGAAACAAAAAAAAGATACTTTAAAAACAGCAAACATGTCATATGTTTTAGGTCTCTGGCAAGGTCATTGGTAAGACAGCAGGATAGTAAAAGATGGATAAGCAAACTTTTGGTAAGAAAGATCGAACCAACCAAGGAATCCCATTCGCGAATGCTTTCAGACAAGGATGTGATTTATGCTTTACATACGCATAATATCCGTCCTGATTCCATCGATAAATATTTAACTAACTAGTAAGTCCATCCATCGACCTTTTGAACTAATGACTCATTAATATACTTTACCAAACATCATTTGTGAGTTATTTATAAATATTATATCTATTTTGTTTGTTTGTTCGTATTGTTTATTTATTTTAAGACATTACTTTTAATATTAAGAAAATAAGTCTTTGATAAAACAAATAAATGTAATACGATCTTACCATTTTGAATGATATTTTCAGTGAAGAAAATGTTAACTTTATACATTCAAAAAAAAGTGATCTTAAATGCGAATTGGTCGGATCTTGGACGGTTGCTGTCGGTGACTTGGATCAAGCTCTGCATCTATGGCAATATACTGGTGGATATGAACAAATTGATTATGCACAACTTTTACTTTCCAAAGACGAGGTATTATATCTTTTCTATTAATATCTTTATCATTATTTTCATATTTGTACCCTTGTGTTTTGATTTGATTTCATTATCAGAGTTATCAACGCTTACTCAAGGAACGTGGTAATTATTTGAGATCTCGTCACTTACAATACTTGTTGGCATTTAGTTATTGGCCACCATTGGAAAAACGTAAAGGCCCAAACATATATGAAGTACGAAGTTACAGTTTGAAACCTGGTACAATGATCGAATGGGGTAACAATTGGGCTAAGGCTATTAATTTTCGACGTAACAACGATGAACCCTTCGCTGGATATTTTTCACAAATTGGCAGGCTGTACAATGTTCATCACATTTGGTGTAAGTTTATAAATGAAAGGAAGAATCTTGGATAATTTATTTCCAATCGGAGAAATAATTTATTTTATTTACTTTTTTTTTCAGGCTATAAAGATCTTCAATCACGAAAAGATACTCGTGAAAGTGCATGGAGATCACCTGGTTGGGATCAATGCGTTGCATACACTGTACCACTTATCAGAGAAATGCATTGTCGCATATTAAGCCCAACTACTTTTTCACCAACACAATAAACTATCATTCTTGCAAATACCAATGCATTTGTATAATAATATCACTTATTAATTACTTATCTATAATCAATGTAATAATCTAAAAAAACAAAAAGAAACAAAAAAAACACAAACATTTGTTATAATGTACATCATAAATGTTAAAATCTATACGCGCAATATCGTTGAAGAATGCTGCTACAATGTTTTGTTGTATTATAACTGGCAGAATGTATTTTACTACTAATTCAAATTCTATAATTATATCATTATAAGTATATAAATGCATGTTATATTATATATTTTATCAGTTATCAATTGAAGCGCAACACTTATATGTATAGACGAATATACAATAATTACTCTTATTACATCGGAATTGATTTTATTTTAGTTTTTTTTTCCTTTTCTTTTTATGCATTTGTTATATATTCAAATATTTTCTTTCGTTTTACATTTATACAATATGTATTTTTTTTTCTAAAGTTTATTACATGTAAAACAAAACAAAAAAAATGAAATTTATAAAAAAATCATTTTATTTTGAATAAAAGTTCAATAATTAAAGGGAATCAAATTAATAATTGTTCTTTCATTACAAAATTTCTTTTCACCATTTAATGTGAGATAGAATTGTATAAGTTATATTCATGTAATGCTTCCGTATAATATTAAAACATATATATATATATATATATTGATATTTAATATTAATAGATAATAATTCAAAAGTTAATACAATAGAGCAATAGTCAAAATGATAACATAACAAAAATTATATGTTTATTCTTATATGATATTATTATTATTATTATTATTATTATACGTTTATTAATTGTTTTTATATCAATTGAAATATTGATGATGCTGTACACAAAATATGAAATGGTCAAAATGGTTTTTCTAAACATCAGCATTGTTTTTTTTTATTATCGATGTTTTAATTGCATTTTAAACAGAATTATCAGAAAAAAAAGAAAGAAGAAAGGAATGCGATCAATAATTGATCATTTTATTAAAACTTATTGCATTAAATGTACATTCGTTAGTGTACGTTAGTTTTATAGATCTATTTGTTATACAATGAAATATATTTTTACATTATTTTATTCGTACGACGCATTTGTTGTATTATTATTATATATCATTCTCTGGAAGAAGATATTTTATCAATAATTTTACAATGCTGATGTATATTTTGTTTTTTTTGTTTTTTTCTATAAATGTACACGAAAGTTAATGAATTTGTATTATTTTTGAAAAAACTGTATAAAGGAGTGTTAATAATGTTTTTTATAGTAGAAGCCACTTCACGAGTTTAAAGTAAAAGCATTATTATAAATAATAAGATAAGATAAACAAAATTATATAATTATTTTCTTTCGTTCATTTTATCGTTAAATAGTTTGTCGTCTTAAATTTAGATTTGAATATTTATTGACACTGTATACACAGTAAATATTGTTATATAACATCATTTTTTTTTTTAGGGGAATTATGAAATTGACATTGATCATTTAAAAGAATAAAGATGGACGGGTTTTTTGTATTACAAAGAAGTGGTATAATTATTTGATTAAAATTAAACATTGATTTGACTTTTAAGAATAAAAAATATCATTTGAAGATGTAACGAATGACAATAGAATTTTGTCTACTAAAAAAATTGTAGTACACAATTGTACAATAGAATAATAATAATAATAATAATAATAATAATAATAATAATAATAATAATATACCATTATCGTCTGATTTATTATTATCATCAAGATTTTTATAAGATTCATTTTCATAACATTTTTAATTAAATCTAATATGCCATTATAATCGTGCTTCTTGAAGTGACTATTACTATACTTATTTCTTCTTTTTTTTCTTTTTCTTTACAACACTGCGTAATTAATTAACAAGTACGTTATTAAAAAATAACAATTACATTTTACCTAGTTAAAGCCAAAAATTGTATTTCAAGTATTCGCTGCTAAGTTGTTTTTTTTTTTTCCTTATATAGAAGCATTACTTTATAGTGTCAATTAATAATAAGATATATATATATATATATAAATACAGGGTATCCTGTATATAACTTAATACTAGAACATTGGTATCAACTTTTAAAATATTACATTTTGAAAATTGAGCAGCGAACATATGTCGTGTGACTGTTCAAACTTAATGATCACATGTAAAGAGATATAAAGTGATAAAAAAAGAGACAAGCTTTTTATTAATGTTAAATAATAATAATTATATTTCATAATGATATGCTTATGATTAATAGTCTACGTCACTGTTCGCATAAAATTTTTCTTTTTTTTTTTTAGAACGTTATTATAACTTTTCAAAGTATTTACAAAATATCGTAAAATTATTATATTATATATAATAAAATAATTAGTAGATTAAAATGAGATTACACTTAAAGGCACTAAAAGAAATCAAAATAATTACTTTTACAGTACGTACGTATATTAATTGACTCAAAGAGAAAACTCGTGCTACGATATTGAAAAAATATACAATGATTCATTGTTAGAATCATTTTGAAAGAAATGTCAAAAGAAAAATATAAAAATATATTTTAAAATTATGAATTTAAATAAAAAAAGTTAATTAATGCAACATTGTTTTAAATGCTGGTACATGTAATACGACTTAATCTTATTTTCTTTTTTTTTTTTATTAAAGCTCATGAGTTTTAAGTATTACTATCAACTAAATGCTTCTTTAAATCAGATTCCAAAATAAAATTATTGAAGAAGTGTGTATGTGTGTGTTTACTGCTGAGAAATATATGATTTTTTAATATTATACAGTATACACAAAATGATTTTTTCAAATGAAGTATTTAAAACATATTTTTTTATAGAATTTCTTTTCAACAATGTTTGAATCTTAACTGACCTAAAATGACCTTCATAATAAAATGCATTATTCATTTTTAAATGCCCTTATTAGAGTATAAATGAAAAACAATATGGTTTCATTTAAAAAATCCAAAAGTTGACCTTTTGTATTTTCAGTTTGAATCTACAAACAAAAAAAATTCATTAAGTGAATTTAATGTGATTCTTAAAAGAAAAAATAAATATGATTTTTTAATGTAATTTTGTTTTTTTCTATTGTCAATAAGATGCAAGAGTTAATTTGGGTAACTTGTTTCAATCACCCTGTATATATTTATATATTGATTGTTATATTTATTTTTAAGTATAATCTTTTAATTATATGAACTAAAACAATTACTACTTACAGAGAGTTTTATTTTTTATTGTTTATTACTAAAACAGAAGAAAAAAAGAAAGGATTCTTCTTTTATAAGATCTACTTTTAGAAATATTTTAAATAATATATATATATATATATATATATATATATATATATATATATATATATATATCATGAATTAATAAATCATGTGAAAATTTATCTCACTTTTTTAATGGAACATATATTAACATATGTGTATTTATTGTTGTTGTTGTCATCATTGAAAAAAAAACCCTGAAGTTTTGAATTTGTAATTGTTTTGATTAGCGTATTCTCATATTCAATATATCATCACTATAAATTATTAATATAAAATATTAATGTAAATTATTAATGACAAAATGATGATAATAATAACTATAAAGTTACTTTTTTCTCAAACTATTTTCTATGTTATTAATTTCTTGCAAAATTGAATATTCCATATATATATTTTTGCCTATGAAGGTACTATAATAAAAATTGGTTAATACATTTGAAAGATTAAAGATTTTACATATATATATATATAGCTATCTCTGTGACTGTATTTATGATTTTGTCAATAGATCAAATCAAATTGTCATATTTTGTTTACGAAGTATATTCTCTACAATTATTTAAATATGTAGCACGAACAATCTCTCTATTAGTCTGAGATACGTATTTACTTTTTAATTATAATAATAATAATAATTTGCTAAAAAAAAAAAAATGTCTGTCGAAAGAATTCAGGCATTTTTTTTTCTTTTCTTTTCTTTTCTTTCTATCTTTCTTTCTTTCTTCTAATTAATAATACAAGGAAGAATTACACAATGTTCCGTTCCATATACATTTAAATTATTGTTTATGTAAATAGCATGTATGTAATAGAATATATTTACACGTGGTGGTTTTGTTTATATTATATAGACAAAATTTCAGTTGATTGTGATAGTTTTCTTTAATCGATGTCAAAAACATTTAATTTCTTTTCTAAATTCATATATATATCATGATTAATAAAAGATTATTTTAATGTGTTATCTTTTTTTTCTTTTTTTCGTTTGCTCATAGAATTTATTTCTCGTTATGAAAATTGTATTTGTTCAATGAAAACTGGAATGTTTTTAATATCAACAGTCAACAAATACACCGTAGATAGTTATTTTTTTTTTTTAACGTAAAGGCATTGTATAATATTGAATTTGAATTTTTTTTTATAAGTGTCGAACATAAAAAAATATTTCAATAAATTTTGCACATACTTTTAATATGGCACGCAAAACTACGACAGCTTATAATTATTATTATTATTATTATTATACTATATATATATATTGATTATATCTCTCGTATAAAAATAATGTAACAGAAATATTGAATAGTGTTGTTGTAATCCTGAATTTTAATTTTACAATAAAAAAAAAAATAAGACAGAATTTGATCAAAAGTCTACTACAATATTTCAAAATTAAAACATAACTTTTATAAACTTTATTAATATATAATTCTAAATTGTTTTGTTTTTTTTTTTTATTAGCGAAAGCGATAAATGTATAACAAGTATAAAAAAAACGTATACGTAATAACATATAATATTATTTGAAAAAAAAAAAGTATATTCGATGATCTTTTGTAAAAGAATATATAATTAATAATTTTCTAAATCAACATGCACGAACGTCTTCTTCTGCTCTTCTTTTTTTTTCTTTTTTTTTTTTTTTTAATAAGATTTCGTTTCTTATCACATTATCAGTTTTCATTGTATCCAACGTTCAATGAGAGAACCTTTTTTTTATTTACAACATTTAAATTTTGTTAAAAATTTATCTTTGATTAGATTAATCTCTCAAAATTATTGGACATTCGGCGTACAAAGTAGTTTTTCTATTTAAAAAGTTAAGCTAATTAATTTGATTATTTATTTTTCTTTATTCTTATCGAGAGAAAACATCATTCGGAAAAGAAATTTTGTTACTTTTGTGCAACTCTAATTACTTTTTTTCTTTTACAAATATTTTCTCGATAAAAATGATATAATATTTGAATTGATTTTCTTTTCTACATAAAATAATATATATTATACGGTGTCCAATACTGTAAACAATAAACACATTTTGAATAATTTCTTTTTTTG